TATAAATGGGGATGGTTGAATATATTGGCTAGCTTAATATGCTATGATTATGATATTGTAGTCCTCACTTTCATAGAATCATAGGATTGTAGAGTTGGAAGGGACCAGAAGGGTCATCTAGTCCAAGCCCCTGCAATGTGGGGACAAACCCACAGTCCTGAGAGTTTATATCAGGGCACTTAACATGTCCGTTTCTCTCTTGCACTTCTTGTTTTCATCCTGTTGACTTAATTTCTAAAGGAGAAAGCTCACAGTCCCCTCCCCCACCACTCTGAGTTTCATGTGCTCCATTGGTGGGTATGGCTCACTTCAAATATTCTGTGGTGCTCTGTTTTCCTTGGTCAGATGTTTTTGTTTTTGCAAGCATTCTGCTTCTGCCAAGCACTTTGTGCTCTTTCATTTGTTTCCAGTCCCGGCTTTCTTCCTCTGCTCTTGAATAATTATTGCTCCTCAGGCATGGGAGTCCAAAGTCATGGGGAATGAGCTGTAATGCTTTGTTGCAGCTTATGTCTGCCCTCCGTTGTACTGTGCTTGATTTCTGGGCTAGTTGCACTCCTATCTTATAGCCAGTAAGTGAATAGTAAAAACGGGGGCTCTGTGGAACTAAGCAATGGATATGGTATGCTTTTACTTCCGATCCATACTTTTTGTAAGCTCAAGTTGTCATCTCCATCTGAGGATAATGAATAATTTGCCTCTTTCCCTGCTCATTTTTAAAACTTGGTTCTAAGTAGCTATGTTAATAGGCTGGCATGGCTGCATACTTATAATTGTCTGGTGTTGATGCAACACAGCTTCCAATTAGCTGCCTCAGGACAACATACTGACTCATGCTCATGCTAACAGATCATGCTTAGATCACTTGGATCTCAATTTTCTGAATCTTACATGTGTCCTTTCCTATGGTGGTATTAGGAAAGAATAGGATTCTGCTCCAAATATAAGCTAATGATAAATCCTAAATTCTGCCCTTTATCTCAGACTCATTCATTTGTTCATTTTTTAAAAATGCATTTTGCACTTACCTTTTCTAAAGATCTTCCAGTGATCCAATTTTCTTTCCTAATTATACTCCCAATAAGACAAATATTTCAAATGATTTCTTTGCTTTTCATTCCACATAATATATCATGATCTATTCTGTATTAAACTTTGACATAGATTTTTACTGTTTTTCACCATGAAATGAAATAGCCTCTGCTGTGATTTACATTGCTATTCTCAGTTGTTGAGCACTTTTCAATTTTAGAGCTATTGATTTAATCATAAATACATATAATCTTTACTGATTAGACAAAAATCACAGACAAAAGGTCTCAGAAAAATTAGTTCCCCTCTTTTTCCAGATTGTAATCTGTGCTGTATTATTTTAATATATTTGCTAATAAATTCTATGCTGCTCTCAAAATTAACACAGAGGAATAGCAAATGAAGTGGTACCCATTCCTTTAATTACAAAACTTGGGAAGTTGTTGTTAGTCTTAAACACTTGAAATAATTGTGCTTAGCATTTCAATAAAGTGATTCCCAGAGAAGAGGAATGTCTCTATCTGAAGTTTCCAGATCTAAGTTTATGCAAGATATAAGAGGGTAATGACACAGTTGAATATGTCAAGCAGTCTACGGTTGGCCTATGCAATTGTAGTGTTAAGATGCCAAGCTTCTCTCTCCAAGGGAAATGATGAAACATTTGATCCCTTCCTGTGTGCTCACAAAAATCAGTATGGAAGTAAAGGTTCTGGTCAACTTATCCAAAACCATATGTGAAAACGTTATCTAGTTGATGGCTGGTACAATTTGAGAAGCAATACTGAGCAACACCAAACAGGCAAGTTATTTTAGTTTATCAGTCGATTCAATTCCTGATGTTTCCTGTGTTGATCAACTGACTTGTTAGATATATTTCTCCTAGTGATGGATTACCAGTTGAATAGTTTCTGAGGTTTTCTTTTAACTGAAAGATCACACTGGTGAAAGTATGACTGAGCTGCTTCAGTGACCTTGAAACAGATGTCAGTAAATGTAGAGGAAAACCATATGGCAATGGAGCAAATATGGCTGGAAAGTATGACAGCAGTCAACAAAAACATTCTGGAAAGGAACAAGTTAGCAAAGTTTATTCCATGGCTGGACATTCCCTAAATCTAGTTGGACATAACACAGTTGACTCGTGCCCTGGATGCAGTGATTTCCACACACACACACACACACACACAATAAATGAGTTTATTGATTTTCCTCAGCTTTTATAGAAAGTTGGGCAGTGCTAAAAAAATTCTTGTCTCTTGAGTCAAAAGTTCCTAAACACGTATCAGACACAAGATGGGAGGCTCAAACCAAAGCTAATGCAGCTATTAGCAGAAATTATGCTTACGTTGTTGAAACCCTCAGCCATACTGTGATGAAATGGAAAAAGGAGATACTAGATGATAGGCTGAAAATCTTCTGAAGAAAAAGAAAGAATTGTGGGATGTAAAGGTGCAGTCAAGTGCAGTGGCGTAGCGTGGGGGGTGCAGGGGGGGCCAGCCGCACCGGGCACAACATCTGGGGTTAGGGCAAATCCATAGGTTAGGGGGCGCAAATCCACGGGTTAGGGGGCGCAAATTACTTGCCTTGCCCCGGGTGCTGACAACCCATGCTACGCCTCTGGTCAAGTGCAACATTCCGACAGAGGACTAACGGCCTCTGTGTTCTAACCAGTTGCTGTGACAACCCGTTTGTCGGTTGCTGGTAGTTTTAAAAGATAACTGCTGAGTTGCAGTCACCTCAGGACCAACTTCCCTCTGGTATAGTTTATTTGCTTGTTATGTAACCTAAGCCTGCCTTCAGGTGCAGTTCTGTAAATCTGAATGAATCTGAGAGTAAAATAGTTTTATATTAACATGAATCACATTTGTGTGTGTATTCTTTAAGAGGGATTCAAAAGGATTTTTAACCAAGAAGGCATCTTTATTAGTAGAACTCAGACGAGTCAGCAACAAGCTGATTGCTGCATAAATTTATAAAGGGGATTGTTTAACTCTGCTAAAATAAACCTTCCCACAAGAATTTGAGCTTACTTTCATGCTTCACCTTTGAACGTATCTGCCAGACCAATTTCGCAAAGTTAGCAAGGCATTCCAAGGTTTGCAAATTTCATGGAGCATATGTGGAAATATTTACAGCTGTTGCAGTTTGTATCGAACACAAGATAATTTTGATGAAATTGAACAGCAAGCATCCAAAGGAGCTTGAAAGAAGCTGTTCTGATTTTGTATATAGTGTAATGTTATAACATAGCTATGATTCCCCTGTGTATGTTCTCCCACCCTCCTTAAGCATCACTACATAGAGCACTTTGCCAAATTGCTTCCCACCTTCCTTTAAACACCACTCCAGCACCATTTAATGGAAAACCACTCTGTGAAGTTCCTTCTGCTCTCCTTTAAATGCCTCTCCTTCCTCAGCAGCCTGCCTGCACTCACTTATCACCTCCCTTACTTGCTCGCTTGCCTGCTGTTCTGTCACCAGGCATGAAGTTGATATTACAGCATGATGACCATTTTCCTTACAAAAATATAGTATATGGAGAAAAAGTAGATAACTATTGTCAAATGGCTAATAAATGAACTGTGACCCTGAGAATCCTATCATTCAGAGTTGATAGGATTTGCTCCCTCCCAGGCTGGTGGCCTTCACTGCTGCTTGAAGGAACAGGTACCATCCTTTGACTCTGTGCTGTGTGGTGAAGTCCTTTCTTTCTTTGATCTGCCCTGGATCTTCCAACACTCTGCTTCGTTGGATGTCCACAAGTTCTAGTGTTATGAAAGGGGAAAATATTTCTCTAGTCACTTACTCCATGCCATGCATAATTTTATAAACGTCTGTCTTCTCACCTCATACTTGCCTTTCCTCCTGAATGCTGCAACTTTTCTTCATAGCGGAAGAAAGCTCCATTCCCTTGATCGTTTTGGTCATCCATTTCTGAACCTTTCCCAGCTATAAGATATAGATTGATTCGCCCTCCCATCTCTTTATCCCATGTGCTGCTCTGAGGGTTCTGCTGACACTCCCCTTGAGCCAATTTTGGGGCACTCAGGGAGAGGAGAGAAGGGAAGCCCCATTGTACAAGCAGAAGTCCTTGCTCAGGGCTTCCACTGACGGGGCTCATTAGGTGAACCCCACACACTGACCAATTGGCAGATTCAGCTGCCAGTCTGGTCAGATTCTGCACATGCAACAGGAGGTTTCAGGCAGAAAAATGCATTGGGCCAGCCCTGGCACTAGTACTAGTGATGTCTGAAGGTGTGTAGATTTTAATTGTTAGGCCTAGATTTTAATCATTTGATGCAAGCTCCCAAAATCTGTAGACTCCGCTACATTGGCAAAGAAAAGGTTCTTTATATATGTTGTTTATGCACTATAACACTGTGACACAGATGGTGCTGTGGAGTTCTGTTTTTGCCAACCTCATACAAAGTTTACACAGGGCTTCCTAAAAGAACATCTTTCAGGGTGTCCTGGTTTTTTAAATATGGCAACCCTTGTTTACAATGCATTTAACTGAAACGCTTCTTTGATGTGTCTAGATCCAGTGTTCCCCCACCTCCCACATTGGTGCATTAGAGGCTAAGCAAAAAGAGATCAGCTCTCCCTGCCTCTTTCCATGAACATTGCTGTTGCTGCCATTGTTGGATAAGGGAGAGGAGTTTGCGTGGTCTGGGGGGCTCCATTATTATCATTTCTCCTCTGAGAGAAAACATAGAAACTTATAACTGGACCCAAGCATCCAGCATCTCTAGCTGCAGCAGGTTTATCACATTGTCTTCAATGGGCCATGCAGCTCAACCCTATGCATGTTTACTCATTTACTCAGAAGTAAGTCCCACTTTGTTCAAGACAGTGCATAGGATTTCAGCCTTAAGCGCAACTAAATCTTTCCAGATTGAGGAATATTAAGTGTGTGTGTGTGTGTGTGTGCGCGCGTGCACGCTTTGTAGCAAACTTGCTAATAGAGAACAGTCCGTCCATGCTTAATTTATTATTATTAGTATATAGAGTCAGCTCACATATAAATCTGAACATTGACAAACTTTACTGAACCACAAGCTACAGTGATGGGGAAAGACAAGACACCATTTTATACCAACACAACAATTAAAAACTTTCCATAGAACTTCAGGGCAATGACAATTCACAGATGTCACGCAGCATGGAAAACCCATTTATTTTGCTCACATTGAACTTGGGACAAGATGTTTGCAGTTCAATGCAGTCAAGATGTGCTCATTTCCTGTCCACAAGGAGCTATGAACGCACAGCTGTGACAATGTTGGTTGCTGTTGTGTTTTTGTCTTCTGCCAAGATCTGAGGGTCACACCTTTTCAGTCTCTTCTACTCTCATCATACTTTGCACCCGTTTAGCTCATGCTCCATCCATCCATGGGAAGAACTTTGCTCATGCTGCTCAGGCCACAGAAAATGAAAGAAGAGAGGGGCTGGTAATAAATGCCAATCATTAAAGCTGGCCATTCTTTCCTATTAAAGATGCTGCTTTCACCAAGGAACACTCTGGTCAAAAATGTTTGGCAACATCCCAAAACTGAAATGACACGTGTTATTGACCTAAAAAATGCTGCTGTTTACAACTGAAATCCTCTGTATGTTTTATACACATAAAGGGGCTTTGTGAGTAGAAAATGAACTGGGGTGTTGCTAGGCCCACACTGATGCCATGCTCCTCCACCGGCTCCATCCCTCCATTGATGCCATGCCCCTCCAGCAGTCCCACCCCAACACTGCATCCCCCTACTGATTCCAGCCCCTTGTGCTGAGTGGAGGTTAGAGGGAAAGGAGTCGAGATCAATGGAGTTGCTAGTGAGACAGAGGCTACCAGAAGAGGTGGCATAAATGCAGAGGAATCTGACAAGATAGTGAAGAGAGAAAGGTAGCGGGGCAGATTCAGAGGGCCAGGAGGACTTAGCAAGCCCTAAAAAGTGAGATGGATGGATTTAGGGCTGAGAGGTGAGATAAATTGCCTTAGCACAAAGGCTGCTTTTGGCCGGGACATTGTGCAATATTGTCCACTGGAGATATTGCAAAACATTGCTATAGATGGGATCCTGTGGTGAGAAGAGCTCTAATTTCAATTGGTGTGCTGAGTCCACCAAGTGTCTTTGAGAAGAAGAGACTTTCTGAGGATGCCTGATAGTTTCAGCACGCTAAGAATGGTTGCATGCCACAATCCTTTCTGACCAACAGCATATGGGACTACTCATCTAAGAGATGGGGAGGAACACCAAGGCGGGATTTGACATTGCTTAAAATGGAACACAGAGAAAGAGGCATTTAAATTTTTAAGGCCTTAAAAAGAGCCATAGACTTTCTGGAAAATGACGCACGTATGAAATGACCTGCGTCGCAACAGAGGAGCCTGTCTGTCAGAGTTAGGTACACTTAACAGCATTGTTCTCAATGAATTATTTACAACCATCCATTTATTCATTCGTTCATTGTTAAATGACCACAGATGTTCACTGCTCTCTGGTGCAAAACATAATGCAGTAAAACAAATAAAACGTGTGATGGTATCAGATGAGGTTGGAAGGACAAGGAGCTGGCAAGCCAGAGAAATGAAGCAAAGTGAAATAATGAGTGGTGTGGATTTTTTGTAAGCTGAGGTGTTATAAAAAGCTTGCACAGCTCATTGTAGCCGTCAGGCAATCTAGCCTTCTGGTAAAATGATCAAACTTCTTCACCTGTTGTCCACTGCAATGCCTGTTGGATACACCTAAAATCTTAGCATGCGCAGTGGGTGAGAAGAATTAGCCTTTATGATGACAGTTTGCAGTTGGTTAACACTGTGCCCCATAGGCAGAAGAATCAAGAGCCAATAATCCTAGGGCATGTTCCTAATTTATCAGTGCTACCTAACCTAACCGTGCATAATATGTAGCTGTCCCGTTTGTATATATAGGCACTGATCCATCTCTAATCCTGCTTTGTTCTACATGGCTTGTGACCTGAATCAGGATGTATTTTCCCATCCTCATTAGATATGTGTATTAAGTTCAATGGTGACTGGAGAAGCATAGCTATGTGAAGCTACAAATTGATATACATGCACATTAACAGAGTATACATATCTTATTTTCTGGATTGAGAGGATAATCTTTTGTGAGAAGATATTAAACCCAGCCACAGTTTCCAAAGCATCTCCACCTTCAAGTTATCATTTAAGTAAGTCAATACTTCTTCCTTTCTTAAAAAACAACCTATCATGCATGTTTCTTTTTATAGTGTGCGTTTTTCTTATTTTATGTTCAGCAATTCCAACCAACCAAATACCTTTTTAAGTGAGGAATAATATTCCTAATTCCTACAAAACCAACATGAAGATAAATTTTAAAAGAATCACCCCTAGATCAGGGACTGCTCATCAATTTTCTGTTTTAAGGAATTTTGATTGGCAACAAAAATATATAGCTTAAACCCAGCTCATTCAAAGCTCATTCATTGCGCTGGTTAAATCACAATGCTATATCTTGTTTTGGGTTGTGTCCATTCAGTAGTGTTGTCATGGTAACAGTGTTCCTGGCATTCTCCATTGAAGTCATTCGAATGGCCGAGGAACTGTGCAGGTAGCTGGCAGATCTCTGTGGACGAGGCATCATGCGACAGCAAAGCTGACTGTTGAAATGCCGCCTGAAGCTCTCGCTGAGGAAGTAGAGGGCAAATGGGTTTACGCAAGAATTGCAGAAGCTGAGCACTCGGGCTACCAGCGTAACAACCATATGGCCAAGTGATGGGTCGATCTTCATGTAGTTAAAGGACCGGTACATGTATAGGACATGGGTAGGCAACCAGCATACTGCAAAAAGCCCAACGAAGACCAGCACAATTTTGGCCAGGCGCTTTCGTGTTTCCATCTAAAAAGATGAAATGAGCAGAAATAATCAGTCACAGTACAATGTTATGCTCCACATGAGCTTTCACAATGCATGCAGATACAATTAGTAAAGTGAGTAGCATCAGAAGCCAATGAAACCCATTTGCATTAATAAGTTCTAAGATGTTTTCAGGTACAGATCCATTAAGCTGCATATTCTGCTTCATATCATCCTACTGTACAGTCATACCTTGGTTCTCGAACGGAATCCATTCTGGAAGTCTGTTTGATTTCTGAAAAGTTTGAAAACCAAGGCGTGGCTTCTGATTGGCTGCAGGAGCTTCCGGCACTCAATTGGAAGCCACAGAAGCTGTGTCGGATGTTCAGCTTCCAAAAAAAGTTCTCAAACCGGAACACTTACTTCCAGGTTTGCGGCGTTTGGGAGCCAAAACAGACGAGTACCAAGGCGTTCAAGGACTGTATCTTTAATTTCACCAACTGCCTGTTAAAAGGGAGCACGGGGCATCCTTTGATGCAGTTCTTCCACCCATCCCAAAAAGGTCAAAGCACACCTTCTTCCAAAGTTCTGTTAAAGCAGACATTTTCAACCTTGGGTCCCCAGATATTGCTGGACCACAACTCCCATCACCCCCAAGAATGGTCATGGATGATGCAAGTTGAGAGTCCAACATCTGGGAACCCAAAAATGAAGAAGTCTGCATTAGAGGACACACACGGAGGCATACGGTAATTAGACAAGAATCACTGTGTATGCAGCACTGGACCATCCAACAATTGATTATAGACTGATAAGAACTCAGTAGAGGGACAAAGGTAAAGAAATAGCCCTTTTCTGAGGGTTTATTGCCATTTACAGGATAGTTTTCCATTGGCCTAAATAGGTCCAAAAAGTGAAGTCCTGCAAAAAAATTTTATTGTGGAATAGTGCAGCACATTCTACTAATAACTATAGTCTTCTATTAACTTTGTTCACAAATATGAGTTTTTTATACAAATTTCATGCAAATTGTATTTGTCCAAATACATTATTCCACAGCAATTCCTCTTGGAACAAGACACATTGATTTGGGTGGACTTTACTTCTAATGAAGAGCGCTCAAAGCAGTAGCCTATAATAGCTGTGAGCAAATTATCTACAGTCCACTGGTTTGTGATCTATTTCCAATGCTTCCCTTAGGGCTGTATAAATTGCCTACTCCATCTGTTTTCATTTTCATGAAACCAATCACCATTACTAAACCAATATCTACTCCTCTCATTAAACATGTAATTCAGACTTGTAAAAAGCAACAACTATTGTGTATCTTATTAGCTGGGGTAGGGAAAAGTACAGCAGAGAAATCTGAAACACAATCAGTAATGGGCTCCAAACCAGAATATAACTGGAATCCAGGGGGGCCCTGACATCTAGGAGCCCTGCTAGACCTTTGCAGAGGCCTCTTGATGTTGACACAGAATATTATTTCATTGCTGTGCAGGGCCTAGGCACTAGGGGGATCATGTTATACCCAGGCAAATCCTGCAATGGAAGCTGCAGGAAACCGTGAAAATCCACTACAGGTTCAGACTAGTCTAAATTACAAAGTCCGGCAAGAATTCTGCCTTGAGCAAATATTTTTATCCTTCTTTCATTGCCATTCAGCAGGCAGTCAATGTGGTACAGTATTTCTCAAGCCAAGTTGGTGGTGGAGAGGGAGTTGGCTCTCAGGGGTAATATATGAGCAACAATATAAGCAGGAATGCCTTAGTAACCACTTAGTACTTTGAAATAATAAGTGGCCTGGCTTGCATGGCGATAAGAGGTTCTAGCTTACATATGGGCCACTTACCTGTCTTTTAGATTGTGCACTGTTTTCTCCAGGCAGATTATGTGCACTCTTAATTAAAGTCCTTGCAATATGGTAATAGTAAACACTAATGATGGTGAGCGGGATAAGGAGGTATACCAAAAGTATCACCACTGAATGGATCCTTGGGTGCAAATCATCCTTCAAGGGATACCGTATGCATTCTGTGAAACTGACGTTATCCGCGTCGTTGATGTTTGCTACTTCAGAGAATACGGCTTCAGGAACTGCTAGCAGAATGGATATTATCCAGATGGCAATAGCTTTGATACAGGTCCACAGGACTGCGTTGGGTGCCTGAATGTCCATTGGATTGACAATTGCTTTGTACCTAAAAGCGTATGAGGGAAAATTAGAGTCAATTCTTTTTCAAAGAATGCAGCTTTTATTGAAAGGAGATGGCTTCCTGCAGTTAACAAATAGGAGCCTCGTATGTCCATTCAAGAGACCTGACGAGACATTCCCCATCTGCTTCTGTATTGCAGGAAGCGGGCAGAATTGGAAGCAGAGAAAGACACAGGGAAGAATGCAACAAATGAACAAGTGACTGGCTACAGAAAAGACATGTAGTCACCACATTTCGCAATGTATAGAAGGGTCTAATTGACTGGATATAAGGAGGATGCGGGTGGTTCTCCCACACAGGGCACCAAGTCAAAGAGGCACAAGAATGAGAAGATCCATCATTAAGAAAACTCATTTGGGGGTTCCAAATTTCAGCCTCAGACAGGGTGCCATTGCTACCAAAATTACCAAGGTCTATGCCTTTGTGAAGTAATAATATAGTAGGACAAAAGAAGCTGCCTTACACTCAGACCATTGGTCCACCAGTTCAGCATTGTCTGCACTAACTGGCAGCAGCTCTCAGGTGGGGATCTCCCAGTAGAACCGGGAGATGCCAAGGACTGAACGAGGGACCTTCTGCATGCAAAGCAGGGGCTCTACCACTGAGCTACAACCCTCCCCCTGGAAACTATGAACATGTGCAGAGTACCCCCTCTTCACCACTGAGTATCTTCTGACAGCCTTACCACATTTGGGAGTGGGGGAGAAGACGTTGACATCATGGAACACAACGTTCAAGTAGCCCTGATCTCCTGCTTATTCATTTTATTTAATAAATTAATCCTTTTTAAATTAAATACAAACATTAAAACTAGTTTCCCTTAAGCACAGCTAACGCCAGTAGTACAGTTGGCATTTGACTCGCTTCAAGATGTTGAAATAATGCCATCGCAACCCTTCATGAAAATTCATTACATGGAGGACTAACCCCAGTTGATCCGTAAATTGGTCCCTAAGGACATGCATTTCAGCTTCACATAACAGAGACAAGCTCCCCCGCCCTCTGCAATTATTTCTACCCCAGTCTGGCAAGTGTAATGAAAACTATTTGTCTTCAGCCCTCAAGCAGCAAGTGCCTTCAAGCTTTCTTTTCTTTTTCTTCCTCACATTTTTATTTGCTTTTGAACAAAAACAAATACACTTTTAAACACTTTCCCAGCGGTAACAGATATGATTAATGATGTCCAGGAATTTGGAGCTGGAGATTTGTTCCTTTTATTAACCATTGTGTTAACCAATAAGCATGTTGATTAGATTAGGAAATCCCCTTAGTAAGTCTAAATCCCCATGTAAATCTAGACAGCCCTTTGCAGAGCGTTGTGGGAGAGAGGAAAAAACGCAGGCTCCAAAATCTCACATGCCCACAGGAGAGATGCTCTGGTGCCATACAAGGGCAAATAAGAACTCTGTCAAGAGCTGTATGCATGTACAGCTTACAGACCAAAGCTTATGTTAGCAGTATTACTGTTTAATGTTCATGAACAGAAGACCATGGTGGTTAACTTGTTTGGTGCTGAAATCCTTCCTTGAAGTATATTACGGGCTAGAGAGGAAACTATCAAATGCAAATAAAAGGTAAAGGTACCCCTGCCCATACGGGCCAGTCTTGATAGACTCTAAGGTTATGCGCACATCTCACTCTATAGGCCGGGAGCCAGCGCTGTCCGCAGACACTTCCGGGTCATGTGGCCAGCGTGACAAGCTGCATCTGGCGAGCCAGCGCAGCACACGGAACGCCGTTTACCTTCCCGCTGGTAAGCGGTCCCTATTTATCTACTTGCACCCGGGGGTGTTTTCGAACTGCTAGGTTGGCAGGCGCTGGGACCAAACGGCGGGAGCGCACCCCGCCGCGGGGATTTGAACCGCCGACCTTTCGATCAGCAAGTCCTAGACGCTGAGGTTTTACCCACAGCGCCACCCGCGTCCCTCTATCAAATGCAAATAATCGTCCTAAATACTGAGGGATGTACAAAATGCTCCTGCTTATCCAAGAGCACCACTTAGGAATAGCAGGGGAGACTTAAATTTCTGGCTAACGTGCTGGTTCTAAGGCAGGGTGACAATATGCATGCCACAGGCACAAATGCCATTTTATTACACAAAGGGACTGGACTGTTTGATCTGTGGTGAATGTTTGAGCACTGCGGAGTATGTACATGTGGGGGGAAAGTAGCCATAAAAGATGCTCTTATGTCTTCAGTTATTACTCTTACGTCTTCAGTTATTAAGGCTGTGTTCAGCCCTAATTCAGCCAAGGCCCTAAACCTGAGACAAACTGGGCTTATTTGGAGGGAAATGTGCCATGTTCAAGGCTGGTTGAGGCAGTGTTTCGCTCCCCATAAAATGTGCGTGCTCTTTCAGGGCTTGGAGTGGAATTCAAGGGTCCATGGTTGCCGGCTTTGTTCAGTCCCATTCTTCCTTATTTCTCTCCCTCCCCCACTACAAACCAATAAGCCCATAGCCATCCAGGGCTGTCATGTGGCAGGGCATTGAGCAGGGAGAAGAAGCAGGCATAAGCGAGAAGAATACAGAGAAACCAGAAGAAAGAGAAGGTTACTGGATGGCTGCATCTTTGTGCAGAAATGGGGGGTGGGTGCCTTTCCTGCCAGACCTCTCCTTCCCACCCTCTCTATAGAGTATCTGATCCCTCAGAATGCTGGTGTAACCCCTCCAGACCTTTTCCATATCCTATTTTAATTGTATAATAAAATAACATTTATAAAAACCCTTTAAAATTAGCCTTGCCCCCTAATTGCTTCAGGGACAGATCTGGAATGGGTGGCTCCCAGTGCGGTGAAAGGTAAAATGGCCTGATCCAGGGGCCACAGATGGGGGCCACAGGGGGTCTGTGCACAGCCCTATTAATTGTCTATAAAGGCCAAATTAAACAGGTAGTTATTCAGTTTTAGCCATGGAATGTATGCTTTCTGCCCCCGCCCAAATAGCTGGGGGGTGTAGCAGGCTGGGTCAAGTCTGTGGGAAAGGGGAGGGTGTCTTTAACTTGTAGGGGCTCCTGCACCAGCTAAAAATATAAATGACATAACCATGAGCCTTTCAGTCCTGCAGAGAATCTTGTCGCCAAAGAAAGGAATCCCCCACACAGATTGACAACTGAAATGAAGCCCCCACAGAAAAGCCTGTGCTTGCCGTGGGAAGCCCAATCAGGCAGTTTTCTTTGCACTGCTGCAAACAGGTCACAGAAAAGGTCTGCTGTGTCCTGGAGATGACGGTGTAATCTGCAGGGTGAGTGGCAAAAGACGAAGGGCTCATCAGCCACCCCAAACAGCCCCACAATATGTTACTGTCCCTTCACATGACTGGAATGGCTACTTCAAAGCCGGGAAGCTAAACAAGTTCCTTATAGTGCCCTGAAGCAAACACGGTACATTGCAAACCAGGAAGTGAAAATGTTTCAGCATATCAGTGTTCCCCAGTATGGCTGCTTCTCCGAATGCCATTAAAAAGTTTGATATAGTTGGCCGTGTGCACAGGCTCTTCCAATTGCACAGAGACGAATCAAGCGTCTTGAAGCAGACATGCTCAGATAAGCAAGATCAATGCCTATCTCCTAGAGACATAATTACTAGCAAAGAAGGTCAGCTCCGCATATCAGTTGCTTGCAAGCACAAATAGCTGAAAGGTGAGGCCAGTCATGGTGGAAATGCTGGTTTTCTAACCTTGTAATATTATTGATGCCATGGGACCATGCAACATGTATCCTCTCTGGGCGTTGAAAGGGTCTGTGGCAGGTACAAGAATTTAAAAGGAGGAATGAGATAAAGTCTCCCTGTGATATTGCAGAATGCTGACGGCTAGGGCTGCGATAGTAAACAGGCTTGCCAAAGCAAATTTGTGAGGAGATTTCAGAGCCGTAGCCTGGATACATAGAGTGCCAGAATAAATGAAATGTGCAAAATATATCTGTTCTTCAGTGGAGATGAACTATTACCTATCCTTATTGAAAGATGCTTGCTGTCTCCTTTTCATTTCCTTTTCTTCTTTCTGCTCACTCAGAAAGTGCAGTACTCATTCACAGAGAAAGAGATAATGCCACATAATATGTTTAGTATGTCGAGTATCTTAACAAGTGGAAACTGCAAGAAACTGCAACAGAATTCCATTTGAGATTCCAGCCGGCCATGCAAGAGGTTCCATTCAAGTCTTTCTGTCTTACCAACAGCAGGCAGTGAACATTCCATGCCCACTGAGCATGCTCAGTCCTTAGTAAACTGTTTGGGGGCTTCCTCCAACTTTTCCCAAACATGTTGTGGGTTTTTGTGGGGGAGTTTTTTGTACTTCTGCAGACCTCAGGATTCCCCCAAGCCTGCTGATAGACCTCCCTCTTGTTTGTGAGTGTTGCTGTTTTAGTTATATGGGGGAGTTTTGATAAGTAAGTGTGTGGCTCCATTAAACAAATCCCTTACTAATGATCTCCGGAGGGGAGAATGGATGGTCATTTTTCAGGATACTTTACTTAGAGTAGTTCTATAAACTCTGGAGGTTAATTTCTAAGTATACCCATTTTTACAAACAAATACATTTTCCGACAGGACACTTTTGAAGAACAGGGAAATTTGCAGGGAAGTAATGCAACCCTACTGCCGGTACAAATAAACGATTTATATGTCCATAGATAATCTGAAAGGGTTCGTGTGAAATGGCTAGAGAAGTGGTTAGGTTCAATCAGTATTCATTTTTTGTGTGGCACGTCGTGCCTTTCCATTTCTCAGTGAAATTGGCATTCAGATGGAGGCACATTTTTGATGAGTCATAGCTATGAATTCTAAATAACATGGAAACAAAAATGTAAGAATGTTTTCCCAAAAGGCTTGCAACACAGAAAATGTCCAGGACTAATTAATTAATAAGGAAGTGGGAAAGGAACATGTAAAGAATAATTATATATATACCGTATTTTTCGTGCCATAGGACGCTCCGTCCCATAGGACGCACCTAGTTTTTTTGGGGGGGGAATAAAGGGGGGAA